ATGAAAAAGTCCTTCACCAGGCAAAGAAGATATCAGATGTATATCCAAATCAAATCTGACCAAAATATTCCCACAAAATTATATGTACAAGTGTAGGATTTTTAACATAATGATTATTTTTCTGATCAGCCATTTGACCTGAAATAGACTGAAAGCTCCACGTGTAAAAATAATGATTAATCTGTCCCTGTTCTTTATTGGCCCCCTGAACATACCTTATTCAGTATCACCCAAACGACCCGAATGGGGCTTGGTAATGCTAGCCCTAGGCCTGAAGTTCTAAGCAGAGTCTGCCGTGGGCAGGCCCTACTGGAGAGAAAGTGGGACAGAGGCATGAGAGAGCCGAAAGCACTTACTGGCAAAAGACATGATGCCCCCGAAGCCCTCGGTGCTGTTGTTGGAGACGGTGGAGGTGGGAGAGCTCGCTCGAGAGTCTGACTCTGCATCTGAGTCGCTTGCCAGTTTCAAGCTGTTGGGCCGCAGCAGCTTTTGAGCCCTTGAATGCACAGTGGCACCTATGAGCCCCCAGCAGGGGAACCTAACCTTGAACATGTGGGCCTGACGCTACACTGCAGTCACCGCTCCCTTCCCACAGCTCCTAAATGCCTACATCAAGGCACCACCCTCTGGGGGTGGCAGGACCACGAGAGCATTCAGACTTCTCAGACTTGCTGATTAACCCTCGCCCAGGGTCCACCGTAGTGAGGTCCTTCAGTCACCCATCTAGATGGAATCCCCAGGCTCTCACCGATTGCCATTGACATGCTGGCTGAATCGGGGAGTGTAACTTTCCCCCTGCTCATCATCATCTTCCTCAGGGGGAAAGCCATATTGGGGCTCGAAGTATGGATTGTCACAGGTTCGCCGGCGCACTGACCCCTCTCCAATTTCTGTCTGACGTCTGTCCACGCTCGGTTTGCCAATGCTGGGAGGCACAGGAGGGAGGGGCCTGGAGATGCCTACTGCTGCCTTATCATCCATCTCCGTTGAGTCGGCAGGTTCCTGAGGGCCATATTAAATGAAAAGTAGTCACCTGGTGCCCAGTGATGCCGTCCCATATTCTCAGTTTGGCAGGGCCAAGGAAAGCCAGTCAGGTTCCTAGCCTAAGGAATGTGTGAGGAAAGGCCTCTGTGACCATCCCTGCTCTCTGTCCTCACAAACTATGCAAGGGGGATCTTAGCTAAGCCCTGAACAAAAGGCCAGTGACCTCCTTCTGGGGTCAAAACTATACCTCATAGGCTCTAAGCTATAGGACCTAAGGAAAGGAAGACAGGAAGATTGTGGAGAAACAAATAAGTTAATAGCTTCATCCTAGCTTTCCTAATAGCAGTGAGACCCACATCCCAGCAGTCCTCACGTAGCCACCCCTCCAAGTCCTCACGTACGGAACTGGCTCCATGGATGACGGTGCTGGGGCTACTGCTGGCGGTGGTACTGGAGCTAGAGCGTGGTGGGGGGTTTTCCTGAGAGTTCTCGCTGTCTGGGCCAGGTTCCTCCGCTTCCTTCTGGTTCTGTGGCTCATCAATCTTCACCTCACTGGCATCCCCCAGGGCCGCATGTGTCAGAGGATCCACGTCTGCCAAAACCCAAGGGTGGCAGGTACAGACCACACTATCCCAGAACCCCAACCCCTGCCCAGAGCTGGCCAGTTGCCTCAAGTACGCTTACTAGGAGTGTCACCATTGATGTCACATTTCATCATTTCACTAACAAAGTCACCGAGGGAGGAGTAAGAGGAGCTTGAGTCATCGTAATCCATACTATCACTGCCACTGCAGAGAGAAGAGCACACAAATAAAAAGAAAACATAAACAAGGGGCGGGAGAAAGAATCAACCGCCAGCCTTAGGAAAAATAGAGGATCACCCTTAACTCAAAGCCAGGGAACAATATAAAAGAAGAAAGCCAGCACAAAACAATCAACCAAAATGTAACCCAAGGCTTCCCATGCTGATGTCGAACTACTAGGAGGTTTTTCGTGCTATTACGTAAATGCTAGTGAGAGCCTCTTTATCTTAAAAAGCTGTTTTGCTGCCACGCGGGACTGCTCACCTGTCATCAGTAGGGTCAGAATCAGAGTCACGCTCTGGTGGCACACTCAGCGCCTCAGCCAGCTGGGAATGGCTATCGTAGACGCGATAATGGATGGGCTGCAGCTGATGGGCATACCACTTTGACTTGTCACCAATTAGAGCCGGATCAAACATGTCTACCCAAAGAGGAAAAAGAACAGAGTTAGCAGCAAGTGGGAAAAAGCAAGCAGAACCGAAAAGGTAGGAAAATGTCTACAGCGAAATAGGAATGGAAGGGGAGGCCAGAGATGAGAAAGGGGAAAGGGAAGAGCCATCAGGAAGACAAAGGACCAAGGCGGAGCAGAGGAGAGGGGAGGGGGACTCACTGTTGTGGATTCGCTGGAAGGCATAGTTGGTGGGGCTAAGGACCCATTCCCCAAAGTACTCCACAGCCTGCGTCCTGGCCAACTTCTCAGCAAAAGGAGTCTGCCGGGGACGTGAGGCTAGAAAGGAGCCAGCCTGGAAAGCTACCACAGGCCGAGGGAAGAGACGCAGGGTACGTGTGTGCATCTGAAAGCCCTGCAGCACGTTGGGGGAGTTGAAGAAACGGACCATGGCCACTCTGGGGAAGAAAGGGAAACGAGATCATGTGAGCCCCACACCCTGCAGAGTGAGGACCCCTCCGACCCAAGGTCGCAGACCACCTCCACGGCCATCAGTCAACGGGCTTCCAACTTTAAGGGACAAGGGAGCTTAAAAAATCATCAGTTCTCTTCCTCACTCAAGGGCTAAAAGGCCTGACAGGATGATGAACTATTTCTTCTCTTTGCTTTTACTCAGGTGGCAAATATAACCCAATATCACACGTATTTTATATATAAAGAAACTGGCTCAGGGAAGTAGTCTGCCCCCAAGGTCACTGTGTCAGCAGAGACCAATTTAAGAGCTCGTGAGTGTCTAGTCGGCTTGGTCGTACCTGGTGGCGACATCCACAGAATCCACATCATTGCCATAGATGAGCGGGTTGAATTCAGTGGAAGGAGTGGACTGCAGGTCATTAGAAGGCTTTCCCAAGAGAAGGGGGATTTCCTGGCCCTCATGGAATTTCTCCAGATTGAGGATTGGCTGGGTGTTGAGACTCATGCTGGCGAGGGCCTGTGAAACAACAAAAAATCCCTTACTGAAGGTAGACTCCTGGGCGGCTAACCAATCTCGTCTCCCAGGAAAGAGCCTTGATCTTTGAAATAAGAATCCCAATATTTTAACCTGATCAAATCTGAAGTCCAGGCCAATAGTTTTCAAATTTATTTTAGCCATGAAATCTTGTTCTTTAATTGAAATCTATATGGAAATATAAAAGACTGAAACCTCAGCTTCTCTAAAGGACATGGGGACAGAGACCCCCGCATGCTTGGTGCTCCCAACCTAAGTCGGCCCCTAAGAGACTCCATGGGACAGACCAGTGAGCTTCTTAAATGTTAATGAGCATCGAAATCACCTGGGGATGTTAAAATGCAGATTCTGATGCAACAGGTCTAGGGAAGTGCTGCACTTTTACCAAGCCCAGGTGATGCCAGTGCTGCTGGTCCGCGGACCACACTCTGAGTAGCTGGGGTAACAATACAGGATCAATGAGCCCAAGGGCCTTATTTCCTACAAACACGTAAAGTACAGTTCCACATATCAACCTCCCCATCTCAGTCATACTACAGCAATCATCAAAAATGAAAACACAGCAAAGGGAGACAACAGCTAAACAACTTTCTGAACTTGCAATCCTCACCAGACTGCAGTAACAAGACATCACATTACATCAGCAGTGGTGAAGCAAGTGAGAGGGATGAGACAAAATAACCCATTTAAATCCAAGCAGATCATCATCTAGAGGTACTGCTAAGCAACTCAGACAACACAGAGAGAGATTCCTGAAACGCTTTCAAATGAGAGCAAGGAATGCTAAAAAGACAGAGCTACCTACTGGTGGTCCTACATTACACATACAGCAGGGCAAAGGAATGGGGCCTAGGCATGTTTTACCTGCAGGTACTGTGTTCAGCATGCAGGAGAAGAAGGAAATCAATGAAAAAGACAATCAATGGATTGCTCAAAGAAGGAATTATTGAAGAAAGGATTCTATAAGGACCTACGGATCAATTCAAAGGGAAAACATAAAAAAGAGCCAGACTGTCCCAACTACTTCCTTATGGGACTGAAAGACAGATCTAAGGCCATAAAGAACGGCAGATGTGACAAGAAACGGAAAAGTGAAGGGCTGTCTTATTCAGCATTATAAACATTAGAGAGTGGGAGGACATACAAGGAATGAGAAGGAATGTGAAAAGCCCTTTCTGAGATTCACCCTGCCACCCAGAAATGGGATACACCTCCTAAGCCCACCCAAGGCGAGCAGCACCTACGCCACTTAAAGTCTGACAGGAAACTGTCCCTACCACAGCTGTCTGCCTACAACAGTCCTACAGCAGCTCCTGCTCCCCTTCCTTTTCTTCATTCTTCACCTACCTGCTTTAAGTGTTTTTTCAACTCTAATGACTCTGGTTCTGGTAGGACAGGTAGCACTTCTGCATTGGTGGGGGCAATCACCTGCACCAGAGAAAAGATAAAAGGCATGACCTTAGAATATAGTTGCTCAGGAGTTTCTCTTATATAAGGGTAAATAACAAGAACAGGAAGTTGTATATATAATATTATCATACATACGTGAACACATACGTCATATACCAATATATACGAGACATATACACACACACGTATATGATATACACACACACACCTGAAAGAAAATATACGTGAGTGTGATTGGTAACTATCTCTAGATAAGAGGCTTATGGTTTTTATTACTTCTTTACACTTGTATTTTCTAAAGCTCTTATAATGAACACATATAAGGGCTTCCTACCAAAGTTTGTACTCACATTGCAGAATATTAATACACATTTTTAAAAAGTCTGCACTGAAAGACAGTTTCTTACTAGACACTAAACCCCAAGAAAACCATTAGATGATCTACACCACACGTAATGGTCCCACAACCACAACTGCCCTACCGCTCTGAGTGCGGCGAGCACTTAATTCTGGCAAAACTAAATCTTGTAATTCTTTGAGTCCTAACGAAGGGCCCATTAAACTAGTAAAATAAAAGCAGGACTTAAAAAATATATATACCATGTGTGTGCGTGTGCCCATACATATATATATACACACACACACACACACGTATATTCCCCCCCCCCC